GCTCTTTGGTGTAACAAAAAGGATTTGAATGAGTTTTTAAATTTGAATTGATATGTTACAATGATGAATGAAGGGATCCCAAGTAATGTAGCAGTTTTCAGCAACAGGTGGTATATTAAGACACATTAAAATACAACTTACAGTAAAATTAAAATAGAAGATCAGTCCCAATTTTAATTTAATTTAAAGGCAGTAAGAGTTTCTAGAAACTGGACGCTGCTTCTGCATGTTTTGCTTTGTCCCAGTAAACCTGAGAGGTCAGGTTTACCTGAGAGGTCAGGTAAACAATTCAGAGCTTCATAAATGAACAGTAATGAGGGCTTGCAAGTCAAAAAGGTAGGTAAACACTGGTTTTTGGATATATTTTACTCTAACCCTTAAGTAGAAGTCAGTTTTTCTTCACCTTTCCACTGTTTCACTCTTCCTCTCTCGTACACACATGCGCATTAATACATCTTGCTGCATGCTTCATCTCTTATCCTCAAAGGGATGGGACGCCGCCCCACCCAGCATTCTTTATACATTGGTTCATTGTTTGTTTAAATCCCACACAGTCACAAAAGCATGGTGTGTGTGTGTGTGTGTGTGTGTGTGTGTGTCTATGGGTAAAAAAAGTGATAGAAAAGAGAGAGATCAGGGTGGGACATGTTTTTATAATTTATCATCAATGAGATTGCACGGTAGCCAGTGGGATTATTGTTTGGCCTGGAGTGTGGCAAGTCTGATCTCACCAAGAGAAACAGACCCTCACTATTAAGACAAAACACTGAAACTGAACGTTCAAGACAGCAGGAACATGTGGAGAAAAACAAGGATCACTTTGCATTGGAGTTGGCATTATAGCAACATAATATCCTATTGTATTTTAAAAGAAACTGGGCTTGGTAATAGATTAGCTTCATCATTAATGGTTTTATGATCAAGTGGTTTATCAAGCTTAAGAATAACAGCACCATTTTTTTTATTGGACTTGCATAAACTGTTTCTGAACCTGAATTGTAATAAGTAGCTGCCACTGTGTAAAGTAGAAGCTAATTAAAAGAAAATAATCAGAAAACAGAAGTTCAAAATATAGCTCTAATAGTCAGTTCAATAATAGTTACAGTAAGTTATGTTTTACAATAATTTTATCTAAAGTAATAATAAAAAGCAAATACTAAATAAAATATTTTACAAAATGAAACAACAAAACAATTGCATATTTACTTACTGTATTTATTCAGTAATATGTATTGTACTGTAGTTTAAGACAGTTACCAATGACTTCTTTAGTTGTGATTGCAATTTGGACATTTTATTTATCAACAATTTCTTAGAATTATTCATTTAATATTACTGTATCTTTCAATTTTATCATTTTGAAGTCCTGGCCCTTGATAAAACAATATGGCCAGCATTTATTGTCATAATATTCTTGCTATAATATCTTAGAGCAGCAACTTACAACTCTGCTCGTCAACCTGCACTAACAACTAATGATGTGAATGAATCATTCTGAAGCTATTTGATCACTTCTGTCGTATGCACAGAGCAGTGACAAATCATTTTATTCACTAATCACATTCTCATCAGGTATTTTCTCACTGTGCCATGAAAAATGGGATTTGAAGCCTTCTATGGAACTCCATAGCACATCCAATTTTTTATTTTGCATAATTACCTTACCTAACCTAAACTGTGTTGTTATAATGAGATAATAGAATTCTCTGCTCCAGTTTTGAATCCTTCAATGGAGACGAAAGAGCCCATCAGCGATAAGAAATGTTAAAGATGATATCTTTATCATTCATATGGAGTGAGAAAAAAAGCTTTTTCATGATGGTTGTATAAGCAGCACAGACACACAAAAAAAGGCCAGGGCACAGGACAGAGAGGGGTTGTAATTGGATGCCCTCTCCTCTTCATAGCATCTGTAGTGTTTTCTTTGCTGAGTTCCTGTATCTTCCAGCGATTGGGAAGAATCCAGGAATTACTGTGTTGTTAGAGCAGGAGTGTCTGGCTGCTCTGTTGCCGTGGACACCGTCTCTGGCTGCTCCTCAAGGCCGCTGATGTCACAATAACAGCCACAAACATGATGTGAGAGAGGTGACGTCTTCCTCCTCCTCCTCCTCCTCCTCCTCCTACTCCCCTCTGTCTGCATCTCCATTTCTCTCTCTCTCCTCCCTGCATGTGATGGCCCACACTAATCACCTCTTCTGCAAATTCTAAAATTTCCCTGACGCAGCCCAGCTCTCGTTCTAAAGTCACTATGACTCTCTCTCTCTCTCCCCGTCCACTCATGAAACCTGACGTTTCCTCTTCAGGGACTTGATCTTTTATTCAAAATGGCTGCCGGTGTTGGTTGATTCGGCAAACGTAGTCATAGCCACGTTTTCAAACATCACCCTCCCCACCATAACACACACCTACATGCACACTGCTGCACTTGTGAATCTAGTGGTCGACAGACAGGGTCATATGGGGTGAACGCAACACGATCCTTCATGCCTCTGGTAACCCCTTCTGCACACACATTCAAACTCACGTAACACAAACATACACTATCGCTCTGCACTCTCTTGCCCCCCCTTTGCTGCATGCCATTGTCACTCTCTGGATGAGTGCTATTAGAACCATCTTTCAGCGCCTCTCGTCCCATACACTTGCACAACACACTCGCACACTTCACCCCACCACACACGCACGCACACACACACACACACATGTACACACAACCTGGTCATTCTTGTGTCTTCACTTCGGCATGGAAAGTTAGCCTCTTTTGAATTTCCCTTTAATCAGTTAACATTGCCTAAATTCCCCTTTGAAATGGATTCAAAGTTATAGAAAACACATTTTATTTCATACTATTCAAAACTATGACATATTGCTTGTATATTTGATTCACTGAAGGTGTATCATGCACACAATGAGTGGTTATTATTTCCAGATATGCCATTATTATATTATTTATGGCTGTACCTTTATGTGTATATCTGTGCTTTTGTCTCTACCTTATGCACATTTTCATGTACAATATTTTAGCCCAGACATCTTTAACAACTTAAAAAACTCAACTAGAATATAGATCTCCACAAGGATTTAAAAATAAGGAGACACAAAGATATCCTGATAGGTAAAATTATCTGTCAGTTAGCTCAATACCCAAGATTTCACATGGAAACAGACCACTGACAGACTCTTCGTCCATGTTCTCCCTTCTGTTATTGAGGCAGCAGGAAAGGTAACAGGGGCACAGAATAGAGGCCTCTGTAATTAATGGACTCTGCATTGCTGTCACCTGCCTGAAATAATTTTAAAAAGAGATCCAATGAGAACTTGAGATAGCAAACTTCAGACAAGTGGACACAACAAAATATCTTTAAGAGGCCCCCCTGCCTTTTTAGTGCTCCCCTCTCTGCTCCTTAACCCCCTCCCCCTCGCACCTGTCTGGTCCTCCAGTGTCAGCGAAAGTGAAGGAGATGGCAAAGGGGAATGAAGTCATGACAGGGAATAAAGATGAATCCCAAGGGGACATCTCTGTCAGCAAGGGAAAGCACAAGCTGCCACAGTCAGCTCAGCTGTGCCACTGAGCTGAAAGTAAATACACGTCTTTCCTAAACGGTAGACGTGTTTGTGTGTGTGTTGGGCCTATGTTTGTGTGACGTGTATCTGCCACCTGTTATACGAACACGACCCTACATGCATGCGTTAATGTGTATACATTCTCGCTTGAATGGGAATGTGCATGTGTGTCAGACTTCTTCCTAGACTCCTCCTCTCCTGACTGAATGTATAATTGGATACAGAGCAGGCAGCAAAAAGGATCCCTGTCTTAGATAATTATTCGAAGACTTTGAAGCGTGACCTCCGGATGACTGTTGATACAATATATTGGGATCATATGAGTGGACAGTATTTATAGTGTTAGTTGGACATGTAGCTAAGCTGGACGTCTGGAGAGCAGCATCACAGTGTCAGTCATGGCCTCCTGGGGCTTGCACACACACACACATACACACGTACACATTGCCCTGCTGGAACTGACAGAAATAGCAAGTTGTTAACAATTAGTGCTAGACTCAGCCCAGACCTAATGTTAATTTGAGTGTCTGACATTGAGCCAGATACAAGGTAGCATGCTTTTATTGGGAGTATAATCCCACTCTTTGAGATGATGTTCTCTTCTGCCATATTCACACAGGACTGTGTGATTTGTTAATGCTCAAAATACTATTTTAATTAGTCTGCATGACATAGACCTTGGAGTGCCAGTACAGCCATGCTAGCAGCCCTGTGAGGCACAATATTGCTTTGAGCTAAATGCTAATATCAGCATGGCAACATCATAATCACAAAGGTAACATGCGGATGTTTAGCAAGTATCTCTACATGCTCACCATCTTAGTTAAGCATGTTAGCGTGCTAACATTTGCTAATGAGCACTAAACACAAAGTACAGCTGAAGCTAATGAGAATGTCATGAGTTTTTCCAGGTATTTCATATGTCAAGTACTAGATGAAAAGGTTAAATAAAAATGAAAATGTAATAGCACTCTGTTCAATAGACATCAACTCTGTGTCAAATCTGTGGTGGTGGCAGAGGAAAAGTCAGGTCATAAAAGTCATTGTCTTAGAACCATGGGTGTTTGTACAAAATGTTGTACCAATCCATATTATAGTTGTTGAGACATTTCAGGCTGGACCAAAGTGTTGGCTCCACTGACAGACCAACATTACCATTCACAAAATCATGCCACTAGCATGGCGTTAAACAGTAAAAACCTGCTAAATGTTTGACAGATTGCAGGTAAACTTCACCAACTCACAAACAACACCAGCCAATGAAGTTCGGTGTTCAAGATACTCGCACAAAACCTTTACCCTGGTTGTTTCAACATATAGAATACTTATCCATAAATAGTATGGATACCATATTTCCAATGTGAATGTGGTCCAGCTTACAGTATGTATTATTCTGACTGTTGCTCCATTTTGTCACTTTTCCATAACTCCTTCAGGGCCGTTGTTCCAGGGAGAACTGCAAGTACCTGCACCCTCCTCCCCACCTAAAGACCCAGCTTGAGATCAATGGCAGGAACAACCTGATCCAGCAGAAGAACATGGCCATGCTGGCCCAGCAGATGCAGCTCGCCAATGCTATGATGCCTGGCACCCAGCTACCACCTATGGTGAGGGGACACACACGTATGAACATACCACAGCTACTCCACATGGTGAGACTACATGCAAGTAAAAGCTTACACATATACAACTCCTTCTCCTTCTGCGTGGTTCTTTCAGTCTTTTGATTTGTCTTTCTATCAGTCCCTCTCTTTCTCCTGGTTTGTGTGTACATTTTTTCCACAGTCATTTCATTCCTCCACTTTTATTTTGCTCTCTTCCAGCCCATGTTCTCAATGACGCCAGGTCTGGCCACCAACGCCAGTGCAGCAGCTGCAGCTGCGGCCTTTAATCCCTACCTGAGCCCTGTGTCACCAGGCCTGATGCCACAAGAGATCATGCCCAGCACCCCCGTCCTCATGGCCTCCAGCCACACTGTCAGCCAAGTCCCCAACTCTGCGGCTGCTGCAGCCCAGAAACTGCTGAGAACGGATAGACTTGAGGTAACAGTAGTAGTAGAACCTCGTTTTCTCAAACTTGGGGTGAGGATGCACTATGTGGCATAAAATCATCCCACTCCAAAGAGTTCCAGGAAAACTCAAATTAATGATGTGTTTCTTAGTGGAGTTGAGTCGCCCATGACAATGAGTCTTAAGTGGTTTAACGAGTATAACAATAATGGCACCCTTTATTGGACTTGCATAAAGTATATAATAATAACAACAATAGCTGTAATATTCCAGTTTATGAGGTTGAGTGCATTCCAAGAGTTGCTGTGTAATTAGGAGATATTTACTTTTTTGATGAACCCACTCTCACTTAATCTGTCTCGTCTAGTTTCTAGTACAGTTCGGGCTTTCGTGCAGTGTGCTTCACAAAATGCCATTAGACAAGCACCAGTGTTTAGCCTGAACTTGTTGAATATTTATTTGAGTGGGAAGAGCAGTAACGATTCCCATAATAATAATAATAATAATCTCCAGTACAGCAAACACCAGTACAGCAAAGGAATATGTTCTGTAACCCCTGCTCAAAGCATAACATTTGTTGTAGCAGCATTGTATTCCCATGGCTATCGAGGCTACTGTCAGCAGAGAAATGTCTTCCTCCTCTGCCCTGGCTGATGATGTGATTGTTACAGTATTGAGTCTAGAAAGAAGCGTTTTCTTTCTGATTCTGTCCAGCAAAAGTCCACCAAAATTAATCGTTGTTGTTGCTGCACTGGAAATATCTAAAATAGCTCAATATCCCCTTTCCTTGTAGCATCTTTTTTTTGTCCATAAACAAAATAATCAGACAGTAGACTCAGAAATGCAAGGTACATCATCAAAAAGCAATTTAGTGTTTTTGGAAGAGTTATAAAAAATTTAAAAAGTTAAGTACAACTGTTAACTTTATTGTCTGAGGAAAACACATTTATCTGAGTTCAACCACGCACTGCTAACACACACAGGGCAAGAAAAGTAGCGTAGATACCAGATATGTAATACCCATACCTCAAATTTAGGAGAAGGTGCTGCCCTCTGGTGTCTCACATACAGACTTTTCAGAATGTTCAGACTCACGCACCAACAAACACATTTCTTTATAATGAAAAACTCATAAGACTCTGTTGAAGCAAATGCTTCAACATAGTCTGAACCTTCCTCAGTGTACCATTTATTCAGGAACTCCATATCTAACAGTAATAGTTAAACAGGAAGTACACTGCGTAGGAAGGCCTTTTTTACCCAGCAAGAGGAATACAGTCTTGCCAAGCATTTTAATCAATTTATTGGACTGCAGGTCTCATACATTTTTTAAGTTTAATGTGCGTTTGTAACTATACATCCTCTATAATGACAAAGTAAAGGCTTGGTGAATCATACTGGATATATTCTACATGAAGACACAAATACACAAAACAGTGGATATGTTCTATACTGAACTTGTTGTGCATGTCTTTTCATTATTTCTCTCCTCTCATGTTGTTTCCAGGTGTGTAGGGAATATCAGAGGGGCAACTGCTCTCGGGGGGAGAACGACTGTCGCTTCGCCCACCCCGCAGACAGCACCATGATCGACACCAATGACAACACCGTCACCGTGTGCATGGACTACATCAAGGGCCGGTGCTCCCGAGAAAAGTGCAAGTACTTCCACCCGCCGGCCCATCTGCAGGCCAAAATTAAGGCTGCCCAGCACCAGGTGAACCAGGCCACAGCCGCCGCGGCCATGGTGAGCAGTCTGTACAAGCGTGGTCACTCTCATTCACACCCACACAGCAGGCTTAGGAGCAACTTTGAGGAAGTTCTTACATTTCAGGGCTATAAATTCAATGTCTCACCCTCCTGGTTGGTATTACGTAGCTTTTTAAGTTCAGCTTTCTGCCAGGTCAAAATTTAAAGGTCTGCAAGTTGGTTTGGGTAAAATCTGCTTTAAATGGGATGACATGAAGAAGGATCAGACAATGGTACATTGCTCTCAATGAGTGCATTTAGCTTTTTGTCTTCCTAATCTGAAAAAAACCCAAAACCTTACTGTCTTCCTTGTTCCTTGTTCATGTCATCTCAGACCACAAGCTGAGAGTCAGTTCCTCTGTTTCTGTCTCTCTCTCTGTTGGCCTGGTCTTATTTGTGACACCATTGTTTCTGTGCTTCCTTTCTATTACTTCTCTTCCTCTTGACATTATTAAAAAATTATTCATTGTGCATTCAGCCCTGTCTCACAGTGACAGCACCTGTGAATAATAGTACAGCCACAGATCAGTCTGTTGATCACGGTGTTTTCTACATGCTCTTATCGACGTAGCGTGGCAGAGAGCTTGGGGTGAATCATTGTAATGTGACACCGACTATGATGTGCACAGTCAAACAGAAACCTGTGAATTGTGCTTTTATGTAATTTTCTGTCCAATAAGATTACCGAGACCCACTCAAAGTAATGATTGAATAATATTCTCATCGCTATATTCATCCATCTTTGTGTGACAATAACTAATGTAGATTGGTAGTTACCATTGATTATTGATGATCATTTAACTGTTGAGCAGTAGAGCTAGTGTCCACACTGTGCATGCCTTAGTCCTGTTATCCCCTTGTATATTGCATTCCAATGATTTGTTTTTTTATTTGTTTTTGTTTTTTCTCACCTATACCCAAACTGCACTGCTGCCCCCATGATGCACCTCTGCTTGCTGGTTTATGTTAATGCGCTTGAACCCCATTGGCCCATTGCCATCATGTGCTCGCTGCCTGCTAATTAAGACTCAGTCGGCTGTCAAATCACTGAAGCGACCCCTCGACGCAACCTTTGACCTGGTACTATGACCTTTCACCTTTTAGCTTGGCATGTGGCTTTGTTGTAGAGCAGTGTTTTAACCAAAGATACCTAGCTATTTTTGTTGTCGTTGTCTAAGTGCAATGTCTGTTTTTTCTTCTTGTTGATCTGTCATTATTGCCTGTGATAAAATGATTGTGGCTTCTTTGGGGTTTATGTTGCATCCAGCACCAAACCAAACTAATTCAAATGTGGAATTTGTAACAAGGAGCCACAATCAATTCATCACCTATAGTCTATTTAACAAAAGTCAGCAAGGGCTAGGGAAATAGAGCTTCTATAAGGGTGGCATGGCTTCAGTCTTACGTCCAAGTCAGTGTTCAGTGTTGTGGAGCAGCTCAATCAAATGTGTGCATGTGTCTGTGTTAGTAGTGCATGTCAGATGGATACGGGTGGGGCTAAGAGGAACAGCCTTTAAAACCATATAGCTCTGATCCCACCATAACAAATGATTACAGTTCAAATGATAGTTCACTCCATCATCAAATCAGAGATATTCAGACCTCAAAGATGGCCTCATGTCAAACTAAAACCCACATACAGAGTGTTTTGTGGTGTAAATATTGACACCTGGGAAAAATGCTTTTTAATATCTGACTCGTGTCCCTTGGCGTGAGACCATTTTTGACATTTGTCTGAGAGTGAACCATCACTTAAACATGGCTTACACAGTTTATCATGGAGCTAGCAGTGCAGCCTCCCTTTCTCTGTGCTTCCTACCTGTTCAACCTCGTGTTAGCAGCCTTATTGTTTTTATAGTTAATGCTTGCTTATGTTGCATTTAGTCAGCCCTAGGAGTACAAACTTAATAATCCAAGTAAGCTTCCTGATGAAATAATGAATATATGAATGCTTGTTAGCCAGTAGCTCCAGTAGGCACCATGCTCCTGCTTGTGTAGTACTTGTGTCAGATTGCTGCTTGCTTGCTACTGATGATATGATGATATTGTTGTTGTTGTTGTTGTATACACAAGGATGTTTCTGATGCTGTCTATATAATGTTTTCTAACATATGTACCTTTTTTTGTTTTCTTTTTGCCTCTTTCCAACACACCCTCTCTCTCTCTGTCCACGCACATTTCTCTCTCTCTTTCTACCTCTGTTTTTTGTTTTCTTTTTCACTGACCTCCTTCCATCTGGCTGGGCAGGGCATCGCCCCTAATGTCATGGCTCCCCTGCCCAAGCGGGCAGCCCTGGAGAAAGCCAACGGGGCCTCTGCCATGTTTAACACCAGCATGCTCCAGTACCAACAGGCCCTGGCCAGCATGCAGTTTCAGCAGCAGGCTGCTTTCCTCCCATCAGGTATGGCTCCCAAAGAAACCACCACGTCAGTGCTCTGACCACGCAGAGGATGCCTGGATCAGTCTAACCTGGCTCCTGCAATGCTGGGGTTGGGAAAAGTGGTAGATTGCAGTACAGAGCAGTTTGGTTGCGGTCAACATTTTTTTGGTCATATGATAGAGGGAACTTCCAAAGACAATCAAACATAAAAGCTCTAGATTTCATTCTAGGCTAGTGAAGGTTGAACATTTGTCAGAGTGCAGTTGAGAGGCTAAAAATTTGTGCTTTATGCTTTGTATGGCATTGCATGGCCACTGGGTGTTAAGAATGGGTTAGTCTTTCTGCCTACTAATTGCCTTAATATAAAGCCACATCGCTACCTGCTCCTACTAGTACATGCAGGGTGAATGAGGAAGACCTGGATGTTTGTAAGAGAGAGGACAGAACTTGTTCACCAGTTTATTAAAGTGTCCACGGTGTGATCACTCAAGATGATGAGATACCATTGCTGGGGCTTTGGCTTGGGCTGGGATGAACAGGGCCGATGGGTTGGTTAATGGTATCTTCCGCCTCAGTTTGGCAATAAGCAGCAGGCTTCAGAGTGTGGCTTCTGCTGTTCTTCTCACTTCTGTCTAGAATGTGTAAATAATGTTTAATTCTTGATAGTTACAATCATAACCGCGCTATTGCTCTTGTTGTATTACACATTCAGATGCATTGCACTTCAGACAAAAGTTTAGATTCACACTCAGATTTGATTAACAGATTGCCTTATGATGAGTTCATCATTTCGCCTTTTCCAATCACTGATGACTGTGTCCAATAGATATTAACCTTTTTTTCCCACCTTATCTCTCCCCTCACTCTAACGAACCTTGTGATGGGCTGTTTTGATTTCTCTTCCCTGTCCAATCCACTTCCTGTTGCACTGCATGATGGGCAGGCTCAATATTGTGCATGACACCTGCAGCCAGCGTTGGTAGGTTCCAGCTTTCCTTCTTCAGTTATCTGTAAACTCCTGTCTGTGACTCACACGTCATCAAAATCAAACCATCTACGTAAATTTACTGTAGTTACAGTAACTCTGTGATTTTTACATGAGATTTTGCTGACCTGAGGGCCACTGTTGTGGTTGCGTGAAGATACTTTTTGTGATTTGAAGCATAAGCAGTAGCACACACAAGGGGAGACAAATATTGTGATAGTAAAATGTTTATTACCTGTTTGACAGCAGTTATTGTTCATAATATAAATTTAAATGACCTTTATTTTGTTAATTTCACTGTGTACACCTATTGTATTTGCTTGACCGCTCTCGATCTAAACGTGGCTTTTGGCTGGTCTAACCTGACACCTCTTGAAACCATTTTAAAAACATTAAAAAACTGAGGGAGTTCAATTATAACGCCCCCCCTTTTCTCCTCTGCCTTAATGACTCTATTCTTAAGACTTATGTGGCGACAGTTTTGCTGTGTTATTTCTTTGTAGCTATTTAACTCTCATGTATCATTATTAGTTCTCATCTAGTGTTTACCAAGAAAGTGCGACATTGATCATGTCGTTGTTACTAATAATACAGACAAATGTGGAAGCAAGTCGCTGCCACAGCACTGTGTCACATCAAGTTTTCAAATCACAAGACCTCTTATTGGTGTTGGCAGAGGGACGAAAGGGAACCAGTTAAATCGAATCCCTCCCTGACTCCCTCTGTCTTCTTCGCTCATTTGCCTGGTGTGTATGTGGCTACACTGCTCCTCTGTGTATTTTTGCTTACATGATTTTCCCTCCAACAAAGTTCCCATGATGCACGGTGGTAATCCAGCCACTGTGTCTGCAGCCACCACATCTGCCACAAGCGTTCCCTTCGCAACTGCCTCCACCAATCAGGTTTGCACCTTTACCGCCTTAGTCTCTCTCTCTCTGTCTCTCACTCTCTCTCTCTCCATCACCTCTGTCTTTCAATGCACCTGGACGATGTGGGGTGCTTGTATCCTACAGCAAGGGGTGGGTTGGGTAAAAGGCGGTACTCCCTCTTGTTGGCCTACACAAGAGTCCAACATGTGTACGCATATCATACTGTGACAAGTTTTAATACATTTATATCCATTTCAACTATAATCACAATATTCATTTCTTAGATTAACTATCTGTCTTTCTTGAACAGCATACTGTATTGTATATAATGTTTGTCCTCATTGTAACCTCGATTTTTGTCCTTTCCCATTTTGAGGACTCTTCCTTATCAAAGTTGACTACCAACGAATACATGCAATTGGTATGTATGAGGTAGTGTTTTTTCACCACATTTTTGAGAGCCATTCGCACCGCTTGTGCAACAGTTCGCTATCTGTGCCCTTTGGGGCTTTGCTTTTTTTTCTTTTTATTCACTGCTGCTTCAAGCACGTAAAGCAAAGTTTTACAATGTTCCTCGTGTTTAAAAGCTGGACATACTCATTATTAAAGTCAGAAAAGCTCTAAAACTACTCTGCAAGATTTCCAACATTTTGATTTCAGTTCTGTTGAAGGCATTATGTAAGCAGTTAGCTACATTGCAAGTGTAGTCTTATGAAAGTGTAGGTTAACGCATCATGTTACAAGTGTTAATCCAGGACTAGTTTTGCATTTTATCGATGTGTGCAGGTCAACAACATGGAGGACTTAGGTTTGCATGGGGGAGCCACCTCACTGACAGCCCCCCATTTCTCCCTTCCCTTCCCTTCCATCCTCTTGCCCTCCCTGCTGTGCAGAACTGTCTGTTGTAGCCAAATAGCTTTTTTTTTTTTATATTGTCATCTTCGTCCTTTTCCAGTAATTAACTCATCTTAATGTGAGAGGGTGTGGTTAAAACTGGTTAAAATGTGTTTATCTGTGTTTGTTTGTCGCCCAACGTCCCCTTTTGAGTGTTTTTGATTTGGGATGCTGATCTCTGTCTGTTTTTTACCCCCAGATTCCAATAATATCTGCAGATCATCTGAGTAGTCACAAGTACTTGACTCAAATGTAGTTCCTCTCAAGAACAGTGAGTTCCTATTTCAATCCTCACATACTTTCTATTCATTACAAAGTTTGTTTGTGTTGTGTCGAATAATTTTAGCTCTGGTTTGAGATTTACTTGATTTTGTGCGCACAAAGAGAACAACGTGTGTCTCTTTCAGTAGCAAAATTTACAGACTATTAATGCATTTTTTATAGTGAAATCCATCATGTCTTGCAGATCAAATGAATGTGTGCTGGCACCGTCCAAGCCAAAAGAGTTCAGCCTTTATGTACATAACCTTCAGAATGTCAAGAAATGGGACAAGGAGGGTCTACCATCTCTTAGCCGGTCCACAACGCTGGTCTCATCACACATTAAGGGTGCAACACATGATCTGTGCCATCTTCCCACAATGTCAAGAAAAAATTTGTTGTCAAATGCAATGTCCAGCAGAAAGAAGAGGATTTCTTGGTGCCGGGGTCAGTGCGTCTCTCCCTCTGTGGGAATCGTTCACAGTATTCTGTGTCTGACTAAATCATAGCACTCAATCTTTTCCAACTATATTATCATTACTGCACGCACCGAAGGTCAAGAGCGTGATTGCATAAAGCAACATCCAGTCTGGTACGTTAGTAGACCAAGATTTTTCTTTCCTTTTTTATTTGTTCTGCTTTATTATTTTTTATTAATAGCCATATTTCATAGTTTACGAGTAAAATGCAAACATGCACCTTAAATTTGAATTGAAATCTGAAAGGCACAATGATTCTAACAGGAATTTTATCCGCCAAAAGAATTACGCATGTACAGTATTGTGTTTTTACGGCTACTAGTGAAACTAGATGTTGAAATGATGGTCTTGGACATATGAATGTTCTGGGTAAACCAACATACCTGTGTACCTTGAAAGCACAGCCAGGCTAGCTTTTCTCACCTTGTCATGTGCCATCAAGGCCATACAGCTAAGTGTTATCTCAGCAGTGTTATTTGTTTACCGAAGGTAAAAGTTTTGTATGGCTCTTTTTGTATTGTTTAGTTTTCAGAATCTCCTTTACAAGTGTTTTTTTAAACTTTTGTTTTCTCTAATTAATCAGTTTTAGAAGTGGTGTTCTCGCCATTTTTTTAATTTTATTTTGTTGTTTTTTCTTCTAAAATCAAAAATTGAGGGTTTTTCTAAAGTTTGTCATACCTATTTTCATAGACTTGTGTTGTTATTGTTGGTTGGGATTAAGTTGTTGCTCAAGTCCATTGACTCCAAAGCCTGGTGAAGTTGAGGGTCTAACTTCAATTGACATTGTGTTACTTTGTTCTCCCGCCTTTAAAGAGGAGTGACTCTAAAACTGTGTCTCCAAGAAGCACTGTTCAGCCATGTGTTGATGGGAATTTAAAACAACAGACCTGAAGGTCTATAGGTCATTTAAACCGCATGTGCACTTGAATGATTGTTTGTCTGGTCACCCTGTTTTAATTTCACAACCCATAAACTTGAACTTGAACTTTTGGGGAAATTCAGCATCTTTATGTGTTTGTGTTTCCAAGCAAAACATGAAGGTTCTCATTAATTTGTAGATCTGACAACAGAAACCAAAGCACAGTTTGTCTCTCATATTCACAAAGGGTTACAGAGGCATCTCTCCAGAGGCTTAAACAATTAAGGAAATATGTTTTTCATCTTTTGATTCATCTCTTAGTTTTATGATCACTTCCCTTTTCTGTTTTCACAGAGATGTGTAGTGTGTCTTTACCGATTGTATTGTACCTAACAAAGCCTTAGATTACAATTAATGGGTCTCAGCCCAATCAAATGTACTTTCAATCACCATGCAGGTAAAGAACACCAATGATGTTTTATAGTTATCTCACGTGCCGCTTATGATCTTTTTTTGTTCTGTCTATGTAGAAGTAACAATTACTCTCTTAAATTTCATTGAACTTATGTGTTATGTACTACTTAAGGATTTGAATCTATTTGAGATATGTAGTTGTAGATTTTTCTTTTTTGCCTTACTATATATTACTTGACAACATTGATATAGCCGTTGTAGATTTTGAGGTAGAATGACATTCATAACTTTTTTCAACCATATAAATGATAATGTGTTGAGTCAGTTTTAAATATTCACTTCATTCATATAGCTGGATGTCTTTTTCAGTTGATGTTACATTCTCAGTTAATTTTGTTGATGAAAGACGTTTTTGATACAGGGAATGAGATCAATTAATTTGCTGCCACTGCAGCATCTCTGAGTAGACAAAAAACTAATGTTTTAACCAACTTAAATTTTCCTTGTAACATGTCAAGATCATATTGAAAACATATTGTATTGAAAAATATAGTGTCCATGTTTTAGAGTAAAAAATATTTTCTAAAAAAAAAAGAAGAAAAAAAGATATGTACTTTTGTTTGAATATTTCTTAAGTTTGCCCTGAATGTCAGGCCAAAACGAGCAGTGAGATTGACGGGTGTTTGGATGTGAGATTAGGAGTGAGAAAGCAAAGACTTTTCCAGACTGGAGAAGTCAGAAATGCTGCAGATGATGAGTTCTAACCTAAGGGACGAAGGTTGACTTTTTGCACTTCTGTATATAGTCAAATGAACAGAGAAAAAAAAATGTGTATCATATTGAGATATTATTTTGAATAAAAAAAGATCTATAATTATAAGGAATTTTGCTAGATTAATTTAAATTCTTAAATTAGAAGACCAGCTAAAACAATTGCTTGCAAAGAAGGGCACTAGTTTCTTGGCCAATGCATTCAGAGAAAGCTATGCGCTTTTTGTGTTATTTTATCAGTGGCTAGTATTGCCAGGGAATGTTTTAGGGGAACAGATATCCCCATGTCATGCTAACTCCACCCCTCCTGTAGGATGGCATATCCGATGATGTCCATATATCATTTGTTGGATTTGGTCATGCAGTATTGCTGCTCCCATGGTACAGTTGATACATACAACTATCAAAATTTGTATTCTATTATAGTTTGATTTGACTGCATGTAAAAGTACAAACATACAAACTGCGTAGATATGTAAAGAAAGATAACACATTCAGATTACAGAATATACAATAATATGTTTGTTTGTTTTTTCAAATTATACATACAGTAGATAAAATCCACAGTGGGGAGAAATAATACTTCAAAAACAAGTCATCTTACTCTTGTGTGATAAAATATTTTCCAAGCAAACATGTTATTTAAAGATAAAATATTAGCACTCATCCACCCCAGATACTTTCTCATAGCCATATACTTACAGTGGACACTGACTCACAGGAAGTTGTTCCTGCTATCAAGCTGTGCACTCAGCAGGTGAAGGCTCACCACACCAAATGCGTATTTGGCAAATTAGTCTTTGAAATGAATGTAACAGTCACCGGTCAACATGCTTCTGACTCAAGGCTGATGTATAGTCGCTACAGAACCAAAGCTCCATTTTCTCGAAGCCAGATGTTCGGTCTCCTGGCTAGAACCAAGGTTTCTCTTCCCTGCTGAGGGCATATGTACGCTTTGACTGCTTTCTACTTGTAAGTGCAACCACCAATTATGTATTTGCTAACAGTTGCCACAATAATTGTACTATATTGTCTTCAGATTTGTTTATGCACATTTTATTGTTGCCATAATTGACTCTTGCTGTATGGATGAAAAAAATCTGAATAAAACAAATATTTGATTTGCTCATGCAACACTTGTGGTCACCGCCTCTGTGTGTGCTGAATGTGTGACTCAGCTTAACACATAGGACATTTCAGTGTTAAAGTCCAGATATTCAGAGCAGTGTATTTGAAATTCAACTTAATATTTATTAACATAAACATTCTGCTGCTGAAAAACGTACCTACTAACTGTTATACCTTGCAGGTTAACATGTAAGTGCTTATTTCCCGTTAAGTTTAGGCCCAATTCATATGTGAGGGGGACAATCTAGGGCAGTGAAGTCGATACTGTTTCTGAACTTACTCATTAACAATTATCCTCACCTTGAGGGTACAGTGTCACCAAGACTGGAGCAGCTCCGCAGAGACTCTTTCATGACGGATGTGCAAGGTTAAACTGAATGTGCTCAGGGAAATTTTTATTAGATTGTGTGCATTATCTGGGTCAGAACTGATCATTAAAAAGTTAGATGAAGTCCATGTGAAGTCACAACACGCCTCCCGTTATACTGCATATGTTGTTACTTTCAGCTTCAGAGTTGATACAGTTTTCAGGACTTATTAATCAAATGTGGAATTTACAAGTGAGGTGAGGCAGGCAGTCCAAAATAAGGCAACATTAAGCCAGATACATGGGTGATAATCCAAAATCCATAGAATCGATCCAACAGGTAGATACTGGAAAACACAGGAAACAGGGCTGAAGGCAAAACACAAACTGAGGAGTAGAATGAATTTGCACAGAGTGAGGTGAACAGACCAATTAAGTACCCTAATGAGGAGGAGATAACAAGACACAGGTGAAATTAATCAGACAATGAGGGCGCACACATACAGAAAGCTAAACAAGGCAATGACCCCAGGGACAGAGCAGCTTCAAAATAAAACAGGAAACGTAAAGATGTTACAGTCAGCAATTGACACTAAGCACAAGGAGTTTGGACCCAGATGCAGACACAGAAACTGAACAGGTACGAATTGTGAGGTGTTTATTTACAAAAAGGTAAACCTGGTGAGACTGCTTTAAAGTGTGACAACTAGAACACAGTAATCCGTAGTGTAAACTGGTGAATAGTCTATAAATCCAACTGACAGTGTTAATACAAAAATGACAATGAACAAAAGGTAATAATATGGAAGGCAGGGGACAAAAGACATGAGATGAAACACTGGGTTGTACGCCATGCACACTGGTAAGACAGTGGTGAGCAGAATCACACACAGGAAAAGCACTAGACAATCAGTGAGATACATACACAGGAAGTAAAACATCATAAGATGCTCTAGGGACAGAAAAACCTACAAATAAAACCGGAAACACTGAAAACATAAAAACACAACCAACCCAGAACCATGACACAACACAAACATCAACATCCCAGAACTGTGACACATGTAATATTTTGACAGTGGTCGAAGACGTTTTCAGATACTTTAAAGAAGTAAAGGTGTCAATACCACACTGTGAAAATACTACACGTAAAAGCCCTGCATTCAAAACCTTACTTAAGTATAAGTATTTACGTATTATCAGCAAAATGTGCTTAAAATATCAAGAGTAAAAGTACTCAACTTGCAGTGAAATGGTCATTTTCAGTGTTTTACTATTATATGATGTTTATGAATTAACACTGCTTCTGCATTGATATGTATCTTGAATTTTATTGCAGCAGATGTTTAAGGCTGTGCTAATTCTATTTTATATACCATTGGGTAGTTTAATCTACAGCAATGCATCGCATTCTGTAAGATCACCATGTATTTGAAGCGTTGCGGTCCTGTGAGAACCACGTATCTCTAACAACTTTTCATGAGCTCAGCCAAACAGCCCTCTTTTCAGCTTTGCGACGATGCATTTTCCAGCTAATCCAAGAGGGGGTTAAAGGGGCCATGTGTAGTTTTCTGTGGCCTCTAGCGAAGATCCTGTGTACCTGAGTATTGGTAAAACGACAATAAATCTAAATAGAACGTTGCGAAGGAAACAGTGCCAAATCCGTGCTAACGTTCGCTAGGGTGACCATATTTTGGTTTTTAGAAAAGAGGACATTGGGGGCAGGAGGCAGACAGACATCCACAGTGGGTGGAAGGTTGGGGCTGGGGGGATTCAAGTAAGTGGTAGCACCATGGCACCATGTGTATGTGGGGAGGGTTGGTGGGGGTAACCACACAACTATTGCTATGGCCAAAGTGACACAAATCCGATCTATTTGCTCATATGTGACACATGGAAGTCACATGGAATCTTATCTTTTCCAGTTCAGAATTGGGCCACTTTCATATGTGGTCCAAATCCGATACAGATCGGATCTTTTTGCAACCTGAGACTGGACACTCAGATCGGAATTGACACGACTTTGACATCACTCTAGAGCAGCTGTTCTGCTGTAGATGGAGCCGCGGTGAATGAAAAAGCTCCACTAAAGCCATAATTAAATATGTGGCTCTCCTTCTTGTGTACCTTGCTATTATCTGCTCACAAATTTCCTTTCTCACACCTGAAATCCACCAAGCTCTCTTCTGAGTTAGGGCTATGCTGCTTGTGTCCATGCAGACACAGTGGAGAGAGAGAGAGAGAGAGCGAGATAGAGAGGAAGTGAGTTGTGGGGCAGATGTGTTGTACAGCGACAGAAACCGTAATGAAAAGAACACAAACTTATGAACACTTATAACGTCATAATTCATGAGAAATGTGACCCGTCAGAGGACAATGAAAAACGGGAGTCTCCCGTGAAAATTGGGAGCGTTAGGCACTAACCGGAGCTAACCTCTGTGGCTCTGTTTACTTCTGTACAACAGCGTGCTGCTGCGTGTGAGTTTGTGTTATTCTTCTGCGCATGTGGGTCACTTTCAGGCCGCGGACAGTTCACACTGGAGTCTGATGTGGACCACATTTAAGCAATAATGTGAAGTGTCAAACAAAAAAATCGGATCAGGGGACAAAAAATCGGAATTGAGCATTAAGGCCTGCAGTGTGAACCTAGCCTATGTTATTGATTAAAAGGGCCTACATGTGGGCTTCAAGATTGTCAGCACCTTTTTTTAAACACTGACAAGTGTTGCAGGTCATGCATTCTGCTTCACATGGACACACATACACAATTTATATTATTAACCATAATTTTAGTAAAACAGAACAAGGGGTGAAGAGAGGCGGCTAGAAGGAGCACATATTCGCACAATGGTATCCTGGCTCTGGCTAAATCTACATCTGTAACTGCAGAGTCTCTATCTGAGGAGTAGAGCAGAGCGGGAGTAACCCGCGGGAGTAACCCGCTCTACCTCCTGAGCCACAAGGGGCGGCTGTGGCTCAGGAGAGCGGGTTGCCCGTTAATCGGAAGGTCGGCGGTTCAATCCCCTGCTCCTCCAGGCTGCATGTAGAAGTATCCTTGGGCAAGATACTGAACCCCGAATTGCCCCTGTTGGCTGTTCCGCCAGTGTGTGAATGTTAGTTAAAGTGTGTGAATGGTGAATGCAGATGTAGTGTAAAAGCGCTTTGAGTGGTTTCACTAGAAAGATGCTATACAAATACGGAGCATTTGTAAATGAGTGTATTAGTACAATACTGTAACAATAAATTTTTTTTTTTTTTTATTATACTTTATTTGGCCTCTGCCTATATTAGGCCTATTTGCAACATTTCAACAGCTTCTTCAACAATTCAATTGATCTACAAATAAAAACTGTGTTCTGTTTTGTTAAGGTTTCATTAGGGCTAATGTTCGTGTCTTCATTTCAGATAATTGTATCCTGTATAGCTTACCACTAGTATAATATTAATTCCAGCAGTTTCATTATGGTATGTTGTTTTCATTCATTAAATCCTTGTGCAAAAAAATTATATACAGTGGGTACGGAAAGTATTCAGACCCCTTTAAATTTTTCACTCTTTGTTTCATTGCAGCCATTTTCCAAAAATCAAAAAAGTTCATTTTATTTCTCAGTAATGTAAACTCAGCACCCCATCTTGACAGAAAAAAAAGAAATGTAGAAATTTTTGCAAATTTATTAAAAAAGAAAAACTGAAATATCACATGGTCATAAGTATTCAGACCCTTTGCTCAGTATTTAGTAGAAGCACCCTTTTGATCTAATACAGCCATGAGTCGTTTTGGGAAAGATGCAACAAGTTTTTCACATCTGGATTTGGGTATCCTCTGCCATTCCTCCTTCAGATCCTCTCCAGTTCTGTCAGGTTGGATGGTAAACGTTGGTGGACAGCCATTTTCAGGTCTCTCCAGAGATGCTCAATTGGGTTTAAGCCAGGGCTCTGGCTGGGCCATTCAAGAACAGCCACGGAGTTGTTGTGAAGCCACTCCTTCGTTATTTTAGCGGTGTGCTTAGGGTCATTGTCTTGTTGGAAGGTAAACCTTCGGCCCAGTCTGAGGTCCAGAGCACTCTGGAAAAGGTTTTCGTCCAGGATATCCCTGTACTTGGCCGCATTCATCTTTCCCTCGATTGCAACCAGTCGTCCTGTCCCTGCAGCTGAAAAACACCCCCACAGCATGATGCTGCCACCACCATGCTTCACTGTTGAGACTGTATTGGACAGGTGATGAGCAGTGCCTGGTTTTCTCCACACATACCGCTTAGAATTAAGGCCAAAAAGTTCTATCTTGGTCTCATCAGACCAGAGGATCTTATTTATCACCATCTTGGAGTCCTTCAGGTGTTTTTTAGCAAACTCCATGCGGGCTTTCATGTGTCTTGCACTGAGGAGAGGCTTCCGTCGGACCACTCTGCCATAAAGCCCCGACTGGTGGATTGCTGCAGTGATGGCTGACTTACTACAACTTTCTCCCATCTCCCGACTGCATCTCTGGAGCTCAGCCACAGTGACCTTTGGGTTCTTCTTTACCTCTCTCACCAAGGCTCTTCTCCCCCGATAGCTCAGTTTGGCCGGACGGCCAGCTCTAGGAAGGGTTCTGGTCGTCCCAAACGTCTTCCATTTGAGGATTATGGAGGCCACTGTGCTCTTAGGAACCTTAAGTGCAGCAGAATTTTTTTTGTAACCTTGGCCAGATCTGTGCCTTGCCACAATTCTGTCTCTGAGCTCTTCAGGCAGTTCCTTTGACCTCATGATTCTCATTTACTCTGACATGCACTGTGAGCTGTAAGGTCTTATATAGACAGGTGTGTGGCTTTCCTAATCAAGTCCAATCAGTATAATCAAACACAGCTGGACTCAAATGAAGGTGTAGAACCATCTCAAGGATGATCAGAAGAAATAGACAGCACCTGAGTTAAATATGAGTGTCACGGCAAAGGGTCTGAATACTTATGACCATGTGATATTTCAGTTTTTCTTTTTTAATAAATTTGCAAAAATTTCTACATTTCTTTTTTTTCTGTCAAGATGGGGTGCTGAGTGTACATTACTGAGAAATAAAATGAACTTTTTTGATTTTTGGAAAATGGCTGCAATGAAACAAAGAGTGAAAAATTTAAAGGGGGTCTGAATACTTTCACTGTACATAGTCTGTAATTTGTTTATGCTGAGTGCTAACTTGTCAATAATTATAACCATTCATGCAGAAGGAGTTCAAATTGTTTTTAATGTCCCGCCCCATCCAGGCTGTAATTGGTTGGTTCACAAAAGCAACATTGATGAGCATCTTTATGCACAGGCTTGGATATAAAAGCACCCCATCTTCTTGTCCCTACTCTGTCTGAGCACAGGCAGCATGTGCCACTGTTGACAAGCAAGCTGCTGCTCTGTCTCTTGGCTGTTGCTGTGGTGCTGAGGGTATTGATTGAGATACATTTTGACCAATGTTTGCATGAAGGATGTGTAGGCTCACATGAGCAACCAATGGTGGCGTGCGAGAAGGCTAAACCTAAAGAGAAAGGTCAATGTAAAATGCATACAATGAATGCCCACTGTAGAAAGCAAAAGCCGCATCCCGGGCATTTTGGGCAATTTAGAAATCCCGGCCGATCACAGTTTTTAGCCACCAAAAAGAGGATGTCCAGGAAAATGAGGACGTATGTTCACCCTCCGTCAGCTGGCTGCCCCTGCCTTGTATCTCTATAGCCTACAAACAAATCCCTCCACATTTGCTTTGTACTGTTACATCATTTCTTAGGTTAAAATCAAAACTTTGACATATTACTTGTGGTACACAGCATGATATGGATCGTGTTAGCTAATGTGGCAAGCCATAAAGTTACAAATGTAGTACTTTGCAACAGATAATGTTAGCAACTGCTCAGCGTTTGCCGGCAAGCTAACATTATCTAACTTGAGGCAGCTAAGCACAAAATAATATGTTTTACATGCTTTGCAGTTTACCTGTCCAATAGGATGAATGACAACTCTGGGTTGGTTTTTATATCCAAAAATATCCATTTATATCCAAAACAAAGCGGTCTCTCATGACTCAAACGCATTTCAGAAAATGGCCGTGTTTTCGCCTGAGGTTGATCTGATTCTCGTTTGGCCTAAAAGGCTTCAGCACATACAACTTTTTGTTGTTTTTTTATCCTTACGTGGAGTTTGTGTTGGAGCTGTGTGTACAGTTTAGGATCAGTGGGCAAGAGGCTCGGGAGCACGCCTGCAGAAATTCACATAGGACTCAGAATAGTGGCTATTCCAAGGACAGAGAAAGCAGGTGTGTGGTTCATTTTTATGTGAGGTTACTAGGTGGTTACTGGGTGGTGATGGCGCAGTGTATAATATGCATGTCTTCAACTTCCCACTGTGACATCCACCAATGTGTCCCTGAGCAAGATACTTGCGAGACTGGCGTGCGAATTCTGTATATTCTGAATAATTGTAATGATTAATTGATAAGTAATTTCATTAAACTACATATAGCCTCTTTAAAGGTTCTCTGTGTAATATTTAGGAGGACAGACTATTGACAGAAATGCATTATTATAATATAAATAACTATGTTTTCAGTGTGTTTTTATTACCTTACAATGAGCCATTTCTATCTACATACACTGCGGGTCTTCTTACATGGACATCACCATGTTGCACCGCCATGTTTCTACAGAAGACCTACAGAGCGTGCCTCGTCACTACGCTGAATATATATATATACCGAGTAGAAGAAGAGCAAGGAATGTTAGTATATTAGTAGTAGTAATCTCCTGTTTTATTATAAGTAAGAAAAGAAGAGAAATTTGGACAAATGGAGGCCCACACATATAATTTAGCACAAGACCCAACAGAGCGTGTTGGCCACCGCTTCTTCTGTGTGCTTAGAAAGGGAGGGGTGACTGGTGCGTGATGGTGCATTCATGTGGTGTTGGAATAATCAGAATCTTTTTTTCCCCGAGGGGACATTTAAAAATAATGACAAATAGGTGTCATTTACACTGGGGACGGTGGGTCCATGTCAGAATCAGAATGTATCTTTTTGAAAGCTTTTGTTAAAAATGTTCTGAAAAACAGTTTGCAACAACAAATATAGAAGAAACAAATGCATTGTCCAAAAGCTGATTACTGCATTATATTCCATCATATTTTTATATTTTGAATTGTCACCTGCCACCTTAATTTTGTATCCCATCATATAAATAAAGCTATTTCCACCATAAATTGGTGCAGAAAATGTCTCCAGAATGCAGGAAATTAAGTGTTTAATACTCAAACAACATACAATTTCAGCATTAAATATTTATAAATATCTTCTCATCTTGTTTTCGTGACCCAAATGTGTCGTCACACCCCTAATTTCAGCCCTTATGTCTCCACCACAACACAAAGTGATGCCCCAATCAGCTAACTTTTGAGATGTTGAACTTGTTGTTCTGCATGAATGGTTTTGATTATGTCAAGTTACTACTAGACATCAGATAATCAGACAATCAGAGACTAAAAACCATGTAGAGCATTTTCCTTGCACAATCATTTAATGAATGACAGGCAGGCAGACTATCCAAATAAAGTGTGGTCTGTAAATATATTTATATTATACTATCATTATACTTTGTATTTAATGTTATAACAGTAATTTATACTAGTTTTTCCTTCAGGTTAAGGATTTTGCTGGGGGGTTCTGGCACCTATTTTTTTAGTTATTTTTTATATTTATGAGTGAACTAGATGTGTTTATATGCTCTGATAATGCTAATCCAACACATCTTTGTAGTAGCGTCCATGTTGATTCCACATTCTGACTTAAGAGCACATGAACACACCTTGAAGTTGGAAGGATGACTTCACAACTCGGGAAATGAGACTATTCAAGGAGTACGTGAATGCACCGTGAGCCGCTCGTTGCAATTTCCAACCCTCACCACTAGATGCCACTAAAACTAACACACTGAACCTTTAAGTAATCATATGATAATGATCACATAATTAGGGACTAAACAGTAACTACTCAGTATTATGTATAACTTTACTTGGGGTACGCAAAAAATGTTTATGTAATTAGTAATTAACGAGTAGTTAGTTTTGTGCGTTCACCTGGAATTAATCAGGAACGACTCATGTTCAGTATGTTGGATTCACAGATATCCTATATTAATGAACTAATCATTACTAATTGATTCATTAATATAGGATCTGCCAGTCTGTTCTCTAGTTACTCATCATTGTCTACTCTATAGTACTCCATTAGGAATTATTAGAGAAGTATAACGATTCGTTAGTAAGTCCTTCCTCATTCATTCCACACTCTTTATAATTAACCATCACTAATTGGCTACTCTGTAAAATGTGATTACTCATTAACTAGGTTCACCAGCAGTTAGTTCCTCATTTGTTCTCTGGTAACTACTCACATTTTTGCGCAGCTATTACTTTTCAGCACTGGTAATGAAGTCATTTTATAGCGCCTTGTACATACTTTTACTCAAATGGCCTACAGAGTACTTCCTCCAGCACTGGCCCACATAATGAAGACAAGTAAGCTGACTTACATTGAATAATAAGGTAATGAGTGGCCTCATTAGCATGAATGTATAACCATAAATACAGCGACAGCGGGCAACTCAGGAGCCTCAAGACCGTGCCTGTGTAAAGAAGGCAGAGGTCATGCAGCCTTGAGCCGCAGACAGACCCGGGCACCCCGCAGTATCGGTGCGGTCCTCTCACTGCTCTGACTGAGATTCCGGGTTGCGGCTCCTTTAAGAAAACGGAACTGAGCCTCGGTGTTTGACGCGCAGAGGATGTGGGCAGGAAACGCCATGCAAGAGGAGAGAAACGATCACGCTTCCCAGCACCGTTGCACAATACAGTGCGATCAAAATGTGCTTTAATTCGCCACGCTAATGTCCAGGAGCGGTCCTTCTCCTCGGATCTCTACCCCGCGGCCGTCACAGAGCAGGCTAGCAGGATTTGCCGGCGTGGGATTTGACTCCTATCCGAGCGAGAGGACAGCCTTCTCAGCCTGCTCGCTTTGAAAACATCGGGGCTGGTCAGCGGGTGGGAGAGAGAGAGCAGGCTTCGTCGCGGAAAAAAAAGGAGGTGTCTGCCTTTTTTCCCCTGAAGCCATGAGGGAGTACAAAGTGGTTGTTTTGGGGTCTGGCGGAGTCGGCAAATCCGCGCTGACGGTCCAGTTCGTGACGGGCTCCTTCATCGAGAAGTACGACCCCACGATAGAGGATTTCTACAGGAAGGAGATCGAGGTGGACTCGTCCCCGTCGGTGCTGGAGATCCTGGATACGGCGGGGACCGAGCAGTTCGCCTCCATGCGAGACCTGTACATCAAGAACGGGCAGGGCTTTATTTTGGTTTACAGCCTGGTGAACCAGCAGAGCTTCCAGGACATCAAACCGATGAGAGACCAGATCATCCGGGTGAAGAGGTACGAGAGGGTGCCCATGATCCTGGTGGGAAACAAGGTGGACCTGGAGGGAGAAAGAGAGGTGTCTTCCGGGGAAGGCAAGGCGCTGGCCCAGGAGTGGAACTGCCCGTTTATGGAAACTTCAGCCAAAAATAAAGGATCAGTCGACGAACTGTTTGCAGAAATAGTCAGACAGATGAACTATTCAACTGTCCCCAGCGGTGGCGACCAGTGTTGTTCATGTGTCCTGTTGTAAACAACAACAACAACAACATACATAAAACAGTGCATCTGGGCTGAATTTGAGCTTATAACTTGTCCTGCAGGCTTCTCGCAAAACCATTCTCTCTCTTCACACTGTTGTCTTATTGTTGCACACAAACAAAAATCGACGACAACAACAATCGATTATGTATAGTAGTCTGGAAAAGTGTTTACATGACAAAGTACTTGAATGTTTTGGGGATGTTTTTTTATAGCTTTGTATATGACACTTCTCTGGAAATGTGCCTCAATGGGAATGTCTTATTGTGAAACCTAAGAGACACTTGTTTTAATGTTTATTTTTATTTCTGTGGATTTATTTGTTGAGTTGTACTGTTGCATCTTCTGGGCTGGGTCCATCTGTCCTGGAGAGTGGAGTGGAGACCTGAAAGTGCTTAAAATTGCTCTTAAACGTATCAATCACCACTCAAGCCTTGCACAGGTTACTCAAATCCGACCTCCATAATTTCTTTCCCCAAAAGGTCAAGTGTGATCCAAGAGGAACCCACCCACCCACTAAGATACTTTGAGGCTGTGGACTGTGGTGGAGTTGTGTTACGCCTACGTATTTTTCTTTCTTCCCCTCTCCAGTCTGGTGAAAGTGGATTTATCATGGAACTTGCACTTAGCTGACGGTGTCCCTCCTCAGTGTGCACAAACAAGGACCTTAGTGCATTGCTGTCGCTGCATGGGGAACGACACAACCCCATGTCAAGTGCCTTCCTAAGAAAACTCCTGTGACTGTGCCAACTGATGAGCCCTACTTCCTCTGCAGTGCGTCTTGATGGCAATCAGAACTTTTTAGTAGTTTTCGGTTTACGTTCTGGTTTCATTTGGTGTCAAAGTGAGGAGACCCTCTTCCTATTTTACTGTCAGGAAGCTAAGCTTGTAACCGACCTGCTGTTTCAGGGTCAGATTCAGGCCGTTTCTCGAGGTACTAGTCTCAACAAGAACAACAGAGTAACTTTAATTTACTAGGATTTTGGTTCAGTGAATGGCAAGCCATGTCTGTATTATCTAGAATGTTTTCCTTTTTTAATGAGACTTTTCTTGACTAAACCTAATTGTAATTCTCCCTTTGGACAAATCTTCTGCCATCCACCTGTCAGTTTAAAACTTGTAATACAAAAAGCATTTTACGTAACACTGTGTGCTGTGCTTGTGTCTGCTGATAACATAAAGTGTCTACATTTTACTTTTACTTTGAATTTGATTGTCCCTGTGAACAACTTTAGAGCAGAAACAAGTAGTCGATTGATTGATTAGTCAACCGATTTTTTTATTTATTTTGATGATCAGTTAAAGTGGTCATATTATGTGCATTTTCAGGTTCAAACTCTTATTTAGGGGTTGTACTAACTCTCCGTTTTAGCTATGGAGTAATGCGTATTACATCTATAAAATCTTTTTTGGGAGTTGCACATGCACAGTACCTAGTTAAGGACTACTAGCCAATCAGAAGCAGAGTAGGGTGGGCCCTGAAAGTTCACGGCTTTGGTTCAGCTGGACATGTTCCCCTTACCAGCTTAGCAATACAGACTGGAGCAACAGTTTCAACAACAGAGTGGTGAGTTATTAATATATGAAGGAAAAACTCCAAACGTTTTCCAGTTCCAGCTTCACTAATGTGAGGATTTGCAGCTTTTCTCTGCTTTATATCATTACTAATTGAATATATTTGGGCCCTGGGCACTTGTGATGCATTTTTTATACACTAATCAGTTAATCTAAAAAATAGATTAATTGACAACTAAGTAACTGTTCCACTGTTGTGGCTTTTCCTAGTATTCAGATATCATGTGGCAATAGATGCCATTTTTGACAGTAAGGGATCAATCGTGGCTCACATGATTAAAAAACGTCTTAGTCCAGTTGTTTGGCTAGTGGGTAGGGTTTCCAGTAAGAGTGTTTAGCCAGGGAGCGCCGTTTCCCTTCTTCCCGCTGCATGTTTTCTAGGCAGTGGAGTGGAGGACAGAGAGAGCTTTTTGTGTCTGCAGCAAAGTTCAGTCAGCCATACATGCTGTAGACTGGTCACTCAGCTGCTGCCTCTAACCACAGTGATTCAAGGTCACATGACCACGTTGAGTCTAAAGACCCGCGTCCACCAAAGTGTTTTTTGCCAGCTGCTGTTCTGAAAACGCCCAGCAGAGCGTGCTAGCGGGCGTTTTTGAGGCGCAGCGTTTTTTACGACTGCTTTGGTTGCTATGATACATTTGTTGCGAGCAGTTCTACCTAACTTTACTGGACGTAAAAATGTCAACACAGAATACAGTACTTGCTCTGGCCCTTGTTCTGTATAAAGGGAAGGCTGAAGCAGGTAGAAAGAGAGAACTGACTCGCCATATGTGTGTTCGTGACATTTTGTGGGTGAGGAAACATCTCGGAGAGTACCACCGTTTGGTCCAAGAGCTGAGGTTCGACGAAGCTCGGTTCCAGGATAGTAACCGTTGCTATGGTGTGGTATTTGTCCCGTCACTCCTCTACTGTGATTGGACAGCTGAGTAAAAAGTGACAGTGACGAGTGCAGCGTTTTTCTCAAAGTTGAAAATTTTTCAACTCTTGGCGACCGGAAAAAAAACACTCACACTCAGCGGCCAGCGCGGAAAAAATGCTCTCATTGGAATGAATTGGAAAAAAGATGACGGAGTCAGAAAAAAACGCTTTGGTGGATACGGGCCCTAAGGAGGATGTGCTCACACCATTCAGGTCCTATATAGAGAAAAGGTTGCTTCACTAAGTCTCCAGTAATACCTTTATTTTAATAATGACTATCTGCAGTAGCTGTAACTGTCACAATAATCTGAGATACAACTCTAAAGCACTTTGCACAGTAATTCATAACTCAATCCTTTTAATAGTGGTTACTGTAATTTACTAACAACTATCGCTGACTTTATGGTCCTATTAAACTCCCACATGCCTGCATTTTGTTAAACCCCAAATCATTGTTTTTATTGTTTTCACTCATACACATAATATAAAGTGCTCAACTTTAAAAAAGTTAAATTTCTGAAGAGTTTAAGCTCTGACAGAAGGATTTCCATCTGCCTTTCCCCAGTTAGTTCAAATATAAACATAGGTACTGGCTCAGATGTAAGTCGCTTTGGATAAAACCGACTGCCAAATGAGTAAATGTAAATGTACTGGCAGTTTAAAATACATAAATAAATATGTGCGTTCTTAATGAATACTGATGAATGAATAAGTGGAACATACAGTAATAGTGACTGTAGGAACATGAATATAGGTAGGAATCACGTGTCAAACTCTAGTACTAAAGACCTAACTTTAACAATTAGGGCTCAGAAATTTGCTCATCATCAAAAACCCAGAGACAGAGTTCCCCTCACATGTGCCAGACATGACTGACACCTGTATTCATCTCATGACACCCCTGGAAGGGGCCCGAACCCTAAACTGGACTAAACTACCCAACTCTACATAAAGTACTTCAAATTACCTCCACCTTAACCAGCTACAGCAGTAATATGTTACTTACATGTTAGGAGAATATTGTGAGCCAGGTCCAGGTGTGATGAAGACGTTTCAAAGACTGATGAAGATTACGTAGCGTTTGTTTATTGAGCCCGGACGAGGAGATACAGTGGCAGTTTACGACGTGAAGACACGACATGCCAACACCAAATCTGAAGAATACTTCCAATCTGGGAAATTTATCCTTCCTAGACCTACAGAGATTCACTAAGGTTATTGTTCACTCCCTCTATACATGTGTGAAGATTCTATTGGATATTGGTTCAAATCAAGACACGTTGTGTCTCATTTAAGCCACATGCAACACTTTCTACATAGAGCCAGTCTGTCTGTAATGAAACAAAATAAAGAAAATCTTGACATTGGGTTACTTAACAAATGCAGACCAGTGCATTATTATCTAGACAGCTGCGTCAATCAGTTGACCAAGCAGGAGAAAGACTGACCTTGGCTGTCACTTTTAGCATACTTTAGCTCAGCAATTGACCATAACATGACCTGGGAAAACCTGTGTCATAGTACCCCTAAATTCCTTCACATCACACATTGAGCAGTGATAACAATTTAATAAGAGTTTTACATACAGACACCAAAGAAGATCCTGATGAGGTACTGTTTGTTCCCAGGACTGAATAAAAACAGAAAAGATGTTTGGAGTGGTATTACATAATGAGATGTATTTTTCCACAACTGCAGGCCTTCAATCAAATGACATGGCAGGTGTGTCACCATGGTGGAGTTTCCCAAGTAAATACATTTACACCCCACATTTTCTGTGAAGGTCAGATATATTGTGTGCACACGGGTGGAGCCTAAAACTCCTATATTTCCACTTAGATCTCATTATTGTTGTGTTGCTGGTGTAAAGAAGGATGTTAATAAGAGTCTAAATGGTTTTATACACGCTGCTTTGAAAACATGTGGAAATACATATAGTGTGTCTCAGTCATATTCTGCAACAATAAAGTGCTGCTTTCCTGACAGCTGTTGATAAAAGTAGCTGATAGGATTATGGCAACAATTTTCCAACTTCTGCTACATCTCTGGAGCTGGAGGTTTGCCCAAAATTGGAAACTATCTTCTGCTTACTGCAATATTACACAGTCCCTACTGTCCATTCTGAATTTCCCAAGCTGCATTTCATCCAACACGTGTAATGCATGTAAGCTAAAAGCAATTTTCCAATCAGCTTATCCATTTTCTCCTGTCCAGTCTAAAGCCTCTGTACCTATAAACTTTGCTACATTAGCGTTTCATTGCATGCATACTCATCGGCCACAGCTTACTGATGCGTTGGGCTTTTTTAGTGCATGAAGGAAAGGAAGGGCGGATGACAGGGCACTTCCTGTGTTGCGGTAACTTCACCTCACATCTATAACATGTCAAAACAGATACGCAGTTCCTCTTAATCATGTAGAAATAAATGGTTTGCGTTGTCACAGCCTGTCCTCCATCGGGTGCCTATGACACAGGACATGACCCCAGTCCTATATGCTCCGAGAAGTCCTTTACTCTATTAAACTTGAGCCAAACTTCACACGTAAAAATATCAAAGTAAGAATGGCAGCATTTGAATTAAAATGAAGGAGAGGGACAAGATGAGGAAGGGGTGATTATTTTTCACTTGTGTAGCTGTGTTGCATGCAATGGCTCCATGTGATTTGATTTGAGCAAAGAAGCCAGCAGGATCATATGACACTAATTTACAGTAGTTGACACGCTGTTTGTCTATGAGCGGTTAGTCAGACAACATGAGAAATATATGGTAACATTCAAAGAAATCATCTAAACGCACACTTCAAAACACTGCCACCTTCCAACCACTGCATACACCTCTTCCTAAAACACCATCTCACTGTAGACTATTGAAGGTTTTTTATGTATTTGTTATTATAAATCTGCTGAACCACATGGACTCAAACCAACGTGACAGCTGACAATGCACACACACTCTCAGCAGCAGGAAGAATGTGTTTACCATGTGAGAAAATGTGGAAGTAAGAAAGTCGTCTCATCGTTCGGTCCTGTCTGTAAAGCTTGACTATGAGCTACTGCAGATAATAGAGCCTGTGACTGCAGAGGAGAGAGGAAGGAGCCGTATGGGGACAAAAAGCTTGCTACTTCACAAAGGTAAGAGTTTCCCCTCACCCCACCGCACCTTTTTGTTTGATAATAAATGAATTGTGAATGATGGAAGCATTTTTCCAGGCTTGAGTCAATGTAGCTTTATTTGTAAAAATCACTTTATAAAGACAAACATGATATCAATAAATATACATTTTTCAATTTACACATTCATTATATAATTCCCCTCTGTTGTAATTTTTACCAAATTCTGAATTCTGTGTTTTACAGTTCAAGCACATTTTGTCATCAGAAAGAGTCTGTAAGCATGTGGTGAATTAATAAAGTTTCAACAATCCAATTAAAGTATTTAAATAAATTTAATCAATATCAATGATTTTGATGTATCATGCAAATATGCATAGAAATCTTCACATGTATGTATAAACGTATATTTATGGGGACAATTCACAATAAATGTATTGCAAAAGTAGGATATTAAAATACTATTACTATTTAATAGGGGACAATTCACATTGAATGCATTGTTGCAATACATACCGTGAATTGCCCTCTATTAAATAGGTTATTAATTGATTACTGATCATTTCTTCCTATGGATCTTCTGCAGGACAGTTTCCGTGTGCTGCTCAGACACATGGTAATAAGTGGGTCTGACAGTTAACAAGTTAAAAGACCAAAATATCTAACGCCACTGACAGAGACACAAAGTCTATAACGAGCTTGTGCCTTTGCATCTGCCAATGTGGTTATACTTGTCAGAGTTTGTTAAAGTGCTGAGCTTTTGTTCGAGTATGTATGTATGTGCTCATAGGAAGCACTGAGCCCCGTCCTCGGTGAAACCCCGTGAACAGAGAAAGCAGAGAAGCAGTGCCCATAAATGACACCAAAACATAGCAGTATAGTTTTTATCTTTTCGGTAAGTATTGTGAAAAAAATGCTTATAATCACAGGGAAAGCCCAGATATTTATTAAATGCATCCGCGTTTTGGCAGATTCCACAATATTCTTAAATCAAAGGGCCTTACTCTGATAAATCCACTCTACACTATCTGCCCAGCACCAAACAGCTAACAGAGAAAGTTGACTATAGTCAAGCATTTACTTAGGGCTTACTGTCAACCAGACTTCAGTTTAATGCCAGAGTTGCCCTGTGTGTGCTAGATGTAAAAATAGGCAATTCTTTTAACTTTTTAAGCCAGTGAAACAGCTGTGTATCTGTAAGCTTGGTTTTTGTCTGCTCACCAGTAGCCAAAAAAATGATGCAGCACACACAAAAAGATATTATAAGTTGTTACCCTGAAAATTGTGTATCATATCTTATAGTTTACCTGACACAACAATATACTGAGGCCTGTGGCTGAAGATTGTTGTGTTTACTCACTAACCTCTTCTTTTTAAAGCCTTCTCTTTCTAGCTTATTTGAATTTTATTTCACTTACAGACGAAATAACAAATGGCCATTAAAGGTGCTGTGGTTATTTTCATTATCAAAAATCCAGGTGTTTGGCCGGAGTCTCATGTACACTTGGTCTCCCACTTCAAGCTGTAGAGTCATGCCATTGGTTGCTGTCTCGTAGCGGTTTCCAGCTGTGTGGTTGTACACAGTAACCATCTGCTTTCCATTCTTCATTAGCCGCAGCCCCATTGGTTTAGATGATATATTATGGCCAGAGAAACTGAAGTAGTAGAATCCTTTAACTGGAGCCGTGAAAATACCTGTGGATGATCAACAGTCACATCTTGTGCCATTTTGAGCGCAGTAGCTGTTTGCTTTCCATTTTATCCACGTGAACCCGTACATCTATCCGGACACATTATAGTAAGTTTACCTGTTGTAGGGTTGTATGCGCCTGTGTTTGAGTAGACATTCTTGTAGGTCAGTGTGATCTCAGCGTTAAAAGGTCCAACATTTCCAACATTGCTGATAGATGCTCCAAATGCCACTCTGTTACCTTGTGAGGTTGCATGAAAACAGAAGGATATTATGATATTTATTTTGTTGAACTAAATCTGAACCAAACATGGTACATACACAGAGTTAAAACTGGTAGCTTTGCTGTAGGTTCCTACCTTGGATTACTCCCTTCAGATCCTCTAATTGTTTCTCAGTGTTTTTCAGTTTGGCCTCCAGTTCTCTTAAGAAGGCACCAAGTTGGCAACAGTTTTCTCGGCTCCCTATTATGTCACCTGCACGCGGAGAAGGCGATTTGATTTTGGGAATCTCTTTGCTGTTGCTCTCACCTGCTCCAGTAACCAACTGTTGGGCCTCAGCCACACAAAGGTAAAAGAGGAATAAAGTCAGCAAAGCCACTGGGGTCTTCATCTTTCAATTTCTTGTTGTTGGTTTATCTTGTCCTGATCAACTCTCCCCACTGTGCTTTATATACCACACAAAGAAGGAAATACATACAGAAAAGGCTGTTTTCTTCTGATCTAATTCCTACCGGGAATATGAGTCATAGTGTGTGTATATATATATAATATAAGTTTATTAGCTGGTCAAAGGTTTCTTTGGTTATTGCTTTATTAGACACAGATCAGATAAGATTAAGGTTAGTTTACACTGACCTTGTTTATTCCAGTTAAACCGAACCCTGGAGCATTTATTCCACTGGTGCAGTTCATTTGGGTTGGTGTGAACAACAGACTTGAACTCTGGTGAGGACCAAACAACTTCTCTGGTCAGCCTCGAAGAGGTGGTCTCAGACCACTGTCAAGAGTTCTAGTGGCGATGGACCAGTGGAGAAGATGCATGCCTTTGGTGTGGGAGACCTGGGTTTGATTCACACTGTGACCCATCTACAAATGTGTTCCTGAGCAAGAAACTTACCCCTAGTTGCTCCAGAGGTGTATGACCTCTGACATATATAGCAATTGTAAATCGCTTTGGATAAAAGTGTCAGCTAATCGATTGATCATAGAGCACTTCATTTCTGGTCTAAACACCATTTCAACAAATCACAGGAAGCTACCATTGTATGTGCCATTTAAAATTGTACTATTACTGAATTATTTAATGTTTTTGTTCTTTATAATATTTCATATTTATCAGGTAGGTTAGGTACACCTCTCAAAAGGTAACGCAGGTGTCCTAAGGCGAGCTCAAGGAGGATAGAAACCTCCCATGGAGCAGAAGGGCAAACGCTTGCTTGATCTTGATTTTCAGTGTGAATATAGCGAACAGAAAAATTACCATCAAAATGTGAAAGAGATACTATAAAAATACTATAAAAATACGATAACAACTAATACAATATATAATATAGACAACATTTCCACCACATGGCTTTTGTTTACAATTTCTGAACCATTTGAGTTTTGCCTTTGTGAACGCAAACCAGACCAGACAGAAAATGAAAAGAATGTACCATCCTCACACTGGTTCGATTCAGGATACAGACTTTTAGGTATGAACCAGCCCTTATATTAACAATAAATTGGTCATCCCAGACCCTGTAAGCCTGTAGTAGCAAAACCTTCCAGTGTATTGAACTAAGGAAGGATGCGTTTTTTTGCTATTGCATTTCACATTTCATTTGTAAGAGGAAGATTATGTCTTATCTTCTTTCAAAATCAGCATACTCATCACTTTAATATCTAAAATACATAAGGCATTTAACACTAGAGATTTTTATTTACAACTCCATATAGCCATACTCGTGGTCAGTTAGATTAAATCCACTCAGTGTAGTTTTATTACTGGTTTACTGGTTTATTGTCAAATTGTCAACAAAGGCAAGGTGCGAATTATACAATTCGGGGTCAACTTTTTTCCCAGGTCATAAGGAAACCCAGTACAGTGCAGGCACGTGCTTCAGTGTGTCTGCAGTCTGTCCATGATGATCAAATTAAAAACACCAGCTCATGGGTGCCTCATAACAGACATCTTTTGTTGTCAGGTCACCAAGTAATCTAGAGCAAAACTGCTAGCAAGTCAGTCAGGCACACAACAGCAGACCATCATTTATGCTCAAACACAGACCTACACAATGCTCAACTAGAACCAAAGACCACCATAAATTATAGTCCGCATTATCATCTCTAATTCCTAATTCTCATAATTTCATTTTTTGCAAATATCTCAATTTCTCTTGCTCATGTTCACTGTGAATGAAATGTAATCTGCGTTCAATAAAGTAGTAGTCATACATTGTTGGGGAATTGAGAATTGTTGGGTCTCTGTAAATATTAAACAGTGTACGGTCTAGACCTGCTCTATATAAAAAGTGCAATGAGATGACTTTTATGACATGGCACAATATAAATAAAACTGAAATTGAATAGGCCTACATTTGAAATAACAAACCTGGATTTTTACATTTATATAGCTTCAGGTAAAACTTCTGAAATCCACAGTGAAAACAAATGACTGCTTATTCTAAAAAGACTCACAAAAGACTTAAAATGAAATATTAAACTCTATATTGATGTCAAAATGTTTCTCTACAATAATTAATCCTCAATTTCACTGCTCACGCCTAAATGCCAGTCTTAGCTGACAATTAGATAAAAAATATGACATTTTATATTGGTAATGAAACGATAGAGTGGGCAATCAACTAGCTAACATTAGGCTCATGGCTCATTTTAAGTTAAAGAAAGGCTAAATACGAAACTGGACTGGAGCAGCTGCGAGTGATGCAAGCCGTTCAACTAACATCAAAGTTAGGAAATAGTATGGTCCATTTTAGAGGTGTCTGAAATCGTATTTCAGGAGTCTTGAATATAAGGCATGAATATGTGAAATATACTGTAATATTTTCAATTACAGGTAAGTTGTAAGGTGAACTGTTGTTTTTGCCTCTTTAGAGGGGTTCCAAGCCTTAAGTAGGGGGGTCAGACCCCCCATGAACAAAGGCCATGTGTTGGTGGTAGTGTTGTAGTTAAGACTGCCCAAACCAAGACCAGAGTTTTTCGAGACCGAGACAAGACCAAGACTTTTAGGGGCTGCGGCCAAGTCGAGACCAACACCGAGGGAGGGCAATACCTAGTCAAGACCAAGACCAGTTCACCACATTACATGAGACACAGTAAAATGTGGAACGCGATCATACTGCGTACTTCTTACATTGAACTGAAAGATCCACATTCCTATTAAAACACCCACATACAAACACTAAGAGCTGGAATCAACGTAAGAATCTTTTTTCAACACTCTTTTTCCATGATTACAATCGCGGGGAAGGGTGTCGTTAACGGGAAGAACACATTTTTAATTAGGGTTATTGGTTGCATTTGAAGCAATATGTTTTACATCCAATCAAAGGAAGGATATGAACAAATAAATCAGACAACGCAAAATCTATTCATTGATTTTCCCAAAGTTTTGGTCTTGACTAGTCCTGAAATAAAATCCCGAGTCCTCAGTGTCCGAGACGAGACCAAGACCATCAAAAAGACCGGTCTCAAGTACTACAACACTAGTTGATGGTAACCTTAAGTTTACTTTTCATGTTGCCACCTCTAAAAAAGATCCTTCTATCTGTGTTCACAATAGATAATCTTGTTAATATACCTAGCTAAATTTCTGTTTCTGTCATTTAATCACTTGCTTTAAGGAAATGTTTTCAGACAGAGATGAACTAGGTGGATCAGATTCTGTTCTCAGCTGCAACTTGAATTGACTGAAAATACAACAGCTGTATCAAGAAGATATTTAAAGAGGGTATTATTTGAAGATCTTTCTTGTGTAATGTAACCAATTTAATGATGGCCCTTTATGATAGGTTTAGACAAGTCTGAACAAAAAACAACATGAAGCAAAACAATAAGCAAAAGTAGAGAGGAGAAGGAAAATAGGACTGCATATGACTAGAGATACATGCTTGCTGCAAACAAAGAGTCAAAAAACAAAAAAACAGTAAAAATGCTGATCTTTGAGTAAGTCAAGACACATGATTGACTACAGCAGCCTTCACTTTTGAAGGTTTGATTTTTCTAGCATGCGTCGCCTTGCTGTGTGGATGAGTCACTCTGGTCTTGGAGGGAACAGGGAAGAAAAGACCTCACATATCTAGGGACTGAAATAGACTAAATGCTCTCTGTATGCTTCTCACACTGCACACTGAGTGGGAAGAGACAGAAGACAAACAGAGGTGTTCTTAGCTTCTCCACATTCATTCTCCATTGTCAGCCCATATACTCTTACGCTTAGGCCTGTGAATGAGAGATGTGTGTTCCTGTTGGTTGGTTTGTGTCTGTGTATAAATGCAGCCAGTTCCATCTTCATGATTGTTTCTGAAAGACTGTGTGTTTTCTGTGTGAGCAAAATACAAAATGTACAGATACTCTTCACGTTTGATACTGTATGAAAATGTAAAACTGAAGTTTTTCTTGGCTCTAGCTGCTGTATCCTCTCTGTTCACAAGAGGGCAGGCAGGTACAACTGACCGAGAGAGAAGAGGGTACCCAATATGCAATTTCATCTGTAAGGAACACTGTATGTACATGCTGTTTATACTAAAATATCAACATTTTGGGATCACTAAATTTTTTTTTCCCCACTATAAATGACCTCCACCACTCCCTCAGCCAACCAAATGATCCAAAGCAAACCAACCAAACAATACATAATGTGAAGAAAATAAAAGCAGTGTACATTTTTGATATTTTACTGTTTAACATTACATCTACTACTTAAGTACTTTAAGCGAGGAGCACAGAGAGCTGAGGCAAATCCATTTCAATAACGAGGTTACGCCAGCATGCTGTGTTCATCACTCACAGGAGGATGAAAAGAAGAAGACGGCATACATTTGTGGACAGCTTCATCCTGGGGTTCATTGTTATTGTCTACAATGAATGAACAGTGATCATTAACAGATGGGTTGCCATTCATCAGTTCACCCTCAAAGACACATTTGGATGTTAAGGCAACTTCTTTAGCATTTATTGAAAACTAAACTGACTCTGAATCATCTAATTCAGTTGTGAAATTTTTTTAGGTGCAGCAAATCCAAACTAAAGAACGATGGCACTGGGGCTGAAAATGTGCAATTAATAAAACATTTACATTTCAACAAATTCATCCGTTTGATTCTGGTCTCTCCTTTTGGTTTGCAATATGCAAGTATTAAGCTTAAAATGCTGGGTACCTACAAGTTACAGTGCTAGTAAACAGAGCTGAACAGTTTACAATAAAGAATGACATCATGTGGCATCTATTAATTCATCATGGTGTTTTTCTCAGTTGTGATATGCTACCAAAATAATATACTAATAGACGTAATTCAATCAAAAACCCTTCAGAAGGCCAGCCACATTTTTATTACGCATTTCTTCTACCTTATTGCATGATTTAAAATAATATAATGAGAAACGAGTCTATTTCTTCATACTGCACTGCAGCAGCTCTTTAAGCAAGCTGGAATAGAAAACAAACTTACCTTTCTCAAGTTATACAATAATGTAATAATGCAAAATATACTGAAGGTAGTTTAAACACAACTAACCTTGAATGTGAAACGGGGTACAGAGGAGCCTAGTATTTCTTTTCATTCTTAACAGAGGTAAGTTGTGTACATAAGATGAATAAGCTATGCAGACTGTTCTCCA